AATAAAAACATCTGAATCAAATACATATACTTACTTCTTATCGAAAACAGCATTCAACATTGCCCTGCACACCATATTTACAGCATATTCTCCATCTCGCATCAATAAGGGTGGTTTGGTAGTTCTTTTGGATCTGCGAGGGGGAGGTAAAGGTGCTATGCTGACCGAGTTTTCTACGTTATCAATGATTCCCTGATTTTCTTCCTGTTCTTCATCCTGTTAGGCAAGTTCCATAGCAGATGAACCTACTTTGGCAGCTCCAGCACTAACTTCATCTATAGATGAGTCTGTATTACTTCCACCATCTTTAGGCATGGAATCTGTTTCCTTCATTGTGGAATGAGAGGCGTCCCTCTCGACTTCCATATCCTGTCCACTCTTGTCATTCTGATCGTCACAAGTCCGATTAAGAGGGATACATGTAGTTACTGGCCTAGGCACTTTCACTTTCTTGGAGGAAATGACAATTATGTCAGATTCATCGTCGGAATCATGGTCCTGACTTAACTCAAGAACTTCTGGTTCTCTGATATTATCATGGACATTTCTCGTCCTCCGCGAAAACGAAATGCTAACAAAAATAAAATATATAGACGTGAATATTAAGTCACTGAACTATATAATATTCACTTAATAAAATAATTAAAATATCACTCTATCACATATTCACCTCACATTTTATCTAAATGCAGAATAATAAACACTCGCATTTGCAAGTTCAGTTTCACATAACCTTGATAACGTACTTTTAACTATTTTTCCATCCTGACATCTTTTTAAGTATACAACTGTAGATTTTGGAGGCATATTTGCCGAACATAAATCGACATACAAATAATTTCCTTTGAATAGTTAAACCATACCCTGAGTTTTACTTACGAGAACATCTATACTTATAAATTAATAAATTTTGCAAATAAACTCCGAAATGGGTGCACCAGAGTTCTTACTAACTCCTCTATAAATACACTAGATACAAGATGATGTCCGTAAACTATATTTAGATTTCACTCGCATAGTAAGTATCGCACATTAAATTAAAAGTCTACTTTCAATTTCTATAAACAGCCATGAAATAGCAAAAACGTGAGTACGGTGGTGTTTCCGGTTGGCGGATCTAAGTTACTGGCAATTTTTAATGAAACTGACAACAAGCAATCGTTTATTTTTTTCATAAAATATCATTTCTGAATTATTCAATCAAAACTTGATTTAAATGATATAAATGAAATAAGTTGTGATAACCGATTAAAAAGGGAAATGTGCAAATTATTTTCGTCATTCACCGATCTTAATATTGACGGAAGCTTCTAGAACATAGCATCGAGCCCGATGTTAAAAAGAAAAACGGTGCGATTATAGCTGATGAACATAAAAAAAGCTTTTGTGTGAATGGTCATTGGAATAATGGTAAATGCTTGATAACACTATAAGTTGTGAATATATTTATATATCGAAAGACTATTAAAAATATGTAGTAAGTTTTCCTAATAAATTTATCGGTAAAATTTGTATATATTCCTCAGTGAGAGCATCGTGGCAACGAAATTTGTACTTCGTACTTCGTAGTAAACTTGCTTACATGAAAAGAGAAAATTAATGAATAAGGTATTGTTCAAATACAATTAAAGCTTAAAAATTTGTGCTTCAATCAATACATTTCAGTTTTTTTCTTCTGAATACAGTCTTTTGTATCAAATACTCGGCCTATTCAAAGGGCGTTAAAAGCTAATTTTTACACAGGTACTTGGGTCTTGGTTTATAAATATGTATGCCATTGTACCTTATTGGTATGTAAAAAAGTAATTTTTTACATATCAATAAGGTACATACATATTTATAAACCAAGACCCAAGTTACTTTGAACCGACCCCCCCCCCCCCAATCAATTTATCAGTAAAATGTGCATATTCGCTACTTTATCCTTGACGGAAATGAAATAAGGGCATCTGAAGTACAATATCCATAAAATAGTATAACAGATTTCACAATAAACGTCACTTAATGAAATTGTCAAGTTTTTACAAAAGGGGGGTGGAGACGTACATTGTACATCTACTTCATGCGGGATTATGAACAAAGTATTTCTTCCTGCTATAAGGTTGTAGGCTGTCAGTAGAAACTACAATATATTTTAGAACTGTCGGTAGTGGTATAAATTCAATTCCCCGCGCTTGCGCGGGATTTCATCTAGTTGATCTGTAAATAAATGAAATGGACGAATCCAAGTTTATTACTTTGAATTTAAAATTACTTTTAGGTAACACATTTTTAACGAATAACCGACTAAAGAAATTTGAGTCGATAGTCAGTATGATCGAACGATAGTCGAGTACTCGAATATTCGTTGACATCCCTAATAGTAACAATATAACACATGCTATGTTTGTTATTAAATAATTGGTAAATAATAGTAAAAGATATTGACCATATGCTGTCAATCGTATATTATTGTTTTGGAGTCGGGTTCCGTGTATTTCGACCCGGTCTCGATCTCGATAGCATGTTTGAAGTCATTTATCACGTTTCATCTATGAACATTTCATTGTCATTGTTTATATCAACTTAATAAAGTAATAGCTACTTGTACTTATCATATATTGGAAGATAAAATCCCATTTTGTATGGTTATTAATGATCCTCCATAAGAAAACTTCACTACATGCACTTTCTCTGATTTGTTTATTCCGGAAGTGGCGTAGGGTGGTTTCGGGTCAGCGATTGGTTAATTGAGGTAACCAGTGGGTACAGTAAGAGTATATAAAGAGCCAAAAATTCGTCTGCTAGGAGGAGAAAGGAGGAGAGAAATTCGGAGAGTAAGAAGCCGAGAAGCATATCCCATATACACCCTAGGGATTGCTACGCAAAGCAGATGGGTAATTATATTACACTTAGTTAAGTTATATTGAGATATAGGCGCTCAGATATCCCTGTGGGAGGCCCATAAGTAGAATTGAGAGACCCATCGACGGGAAAACGTATGGGAGGATCTATGGGAGTTACATTTTATTTATAACAGTATAAAAGGCTTATAAATTAGGTACATGTATCAACGGAATATTAAATTAAATCAAAGTACACAGAAGTACAAAGAGCAGGGCTTATTTACAGAGAAGTGAACAAAGACCCTTTTACCTGAAACATACATTGTATAGTCTGTCCCACGATTGGAACGTCACCACATTTTGCAAAATATCTCAAAATATATAAATACCTTGGCCTTCAACCTAGGTTCGACCGGTAGATTGATTTTTTTTTTTCCAAACTCCCTGCATTTATCCGAACCCTCGAGGTCAACCAGTGTATTGACACGGCGGCAAAATTCAAAGTCTACGGAGATTTAACAAGGTAAACTCGTCCATTACCGTCTAGATTACGGGGCCAGTTTATGAAGGGAGTAGTCGTTCTTTCCAAAGTAAAATTCCGAAAAATCTTTAAAAATCAAAGGAAGTTATTTAAAGTGTTTTTATTAATAATGTCAGTATTTCCTGAATTAAAATATATTTTAACAGTGTATAACAAGTTAAGTCATATGCGCCGTGAAAATAGTCCGAACCTAATGCAGTACAAGTTGTGGATAACGGATGTTGACATGGTCATGATGATGCAACTGCAAGACCTGTATTTCAAACGTAAGTTGTTTTATTATTATAATTTTTTGGCTGTTATTGTTTTACAACCTAATCATGCTAATGTATACATATTGGCATTTTACAGTGCCCCACCTATGTGCAAAAAAAAGTTAAAAAGTACCTTTATGGTTATAATGAAACAAACAGCTGATTACACAATTAGGAAAAAAAATTAAATAACATCAAGATTACATAAAGAAAATTACAGCTGTAATTTTTTAAACATTCTTTTCAATATATGATAGTCTATATTTTCTCTTTCAACATTTCATGCATTTGGCAGTGAATCACAATCTACATAATGTAAAATGCATTTTTTTTTTTACATTTATATGTAGTGTCAACTCCCTGGGGAATCAATATAGAGTTTCTATATCAAATATATAACACATATTTTGGGCATTATTTTTTTTATTGAAAAATGTTATTTTTTACAAGTTCTACTTCTAAAATATCCCTTAATATAGCCCTAAACTTTGTCAATTTTTCAGGAAGGGTCATTTATGTGCATGTATTGTTGAATAGCACAACCAGCTAGGTAGCTGAATATACAGAGTTTTTCAGCAAACATGTCCTGACTTAAATTAACTTTGCAGTTTAAATAAAAATGTTAGTAGTACAGGAAAAAGGCAAAAAAATAAAGAACAAGCCATGTCTATTTAATTTGATCAGTATAAAAGTTAAGATAAAACTGATTTATTTATTCTTAAGACAGACATTTAAAAAAAAAATGACATCAGAGGCCATTTTCCATTTACTGTCATGTGCCACATTCAGTGTTCCAAATTTAAATACTATTGTGTTTCTCAGACAGCAGCTTCATTTTGTCTCTAAGGTCCCATACTGCTCAAATGTGGACTTATTTGAAAAATCTCTGTCCTAGAAGGTTCTCATCTGAGTACTTCTTTTTCGAAATGTTATTCACTGGTATTTGCAATACATATTCTGTTTGCATAGTTTAGTGCAACAATATTCATACAGAGATCTCTTAACACCCATATGAAAGAAAACCAGACTACCAAAATTTTTCTATTGTAATAAAAACTTTTTTAAAATATGGTAATTGTATCCATAGCATAATATATTTTCTGTCGGGAAACCTGCTATGAAAGAGAGTTATGTAAATATTTTTTTTTTACTGAAAAAAAATTTAAACATCTAAATTCAGAACATTGTTTGATATAGATGCCTTTTGTATACAGGTATGGCACATTCTCTTGATTCAGCTATATATGTAGCTTGATTTAGGTATCATTGGAGTAGCATATCATAAATCCGTGGCGAAAGCAAAACCAATTTACATGTACATAATAAACCAGTCAGACTATTATAATGTCTAATATCTTCAAATTAACCCGTCTCTTAAAGGTCTCCGGCAATAAAAATAAATCTACAATTTCTCGCTGAAAATGGTAGTTTGTACTTTAAATGAAGTGTTTACAAGTTTTCAGCACCGGGCGTCGATTACACATGGTAAACATTACCTGTAGAAAACTCCTGGAATATCCCGAAATAGACCGCGGGGGTGTGTCTATATCGAGCGATCTGATTGGCTGTTTTAACCTGTGACGCAATATCTACCATTGGCTTAGCAAAACAACGTGAACGAAGCCGTTTTAGGCTTAATATAATCGTAATTATGGCTGGGATAGAGGTTCATTATGAAGAAATTCAATTTATAGTACAACCATATCAATTTGAACCAACTGTGAGATCGGAACAACCCCAGTCATCATCAGAATCTTCAACTGAAAGCGACTCAGAGCAAGATTCGGACTTCGACGTGGTTGTGGTTGATGAATGGTTTGTAATAATTTTATTCCTTTTTCGTCGAAAAGATAAGCATAATCAGACTCTTAAAACCCTTTTTTATCGACTTGCATAGAAAATTATAAATGATTAACAGTTACGAATGCAGGACACTGCACCAACCATAACCTTTGTAGATGAAATTTGAAGAAAGGTTCTGGCTGACATTTCGTTAAAATTCTCGAAGTTTACTTTCAAAATCCCTTCAACACCCCAATTAATTATGTGTTAACAGTAATAAAAATTATGACTTAAAAGTTCGGGGTAATTACGCTTGTTATAATTATAATGATTGTGGAGTAGAAGTAAGTCAATTACCGCGTTTATATAATTTTGCGCTAATTATGAATAAATGAAAAGTGGGGAGATAAATGAGTAGTCGAAGTGATTAATTTGAAAAAAATCAATATTTATAATGACAAGCTTTTTTAAAATTATCATTGCTATATTGCCTTATATTTAATAATTTTGAATTCACTCTAAAATGGTTTGTCAATTTACTTTGCAATCAAGATATACTAAAATTCATTCACAAAAGTAAGATAATTAAAAAAAAATCACAAATATATACTGTAGATCACTTTATTTTCGCGACACATTATTTTCGCGATATAGCTATTTGGTATTTATAAGCGAGACAAAATTTTCGCGAGCTACGCTCTTTGTTGTATATAATCTTTAACAATACAAATATACGCGAGAATAAAATTTTGGCGAGGAGACAGACTCGCGTAATTACGCGAAAATAAAGTTCTCGCGAATAAAAAGTATTTTACAGTAGTAAAGTATATCTCTCACAATAAATTTTTATGTGCCTCTATAATGTGTATCATTTTACTTTCTCTTAGGTGCAACTGTCATAACTGTATTGACATGCCAACTGCAATAGAGAGGAGATGTTGCCACAGCTTTGGGGTGTGCCAGCTCAAACTAGAGGAAGCAGACATCACCTGTATTACAAAGCATGAAGCTTTTCAAGTCAATTGCCTCAACAGGCATGTCCTCGAGCTTGCTTTCTACGAGTATTTGGACTACAATGGCCCAATGAACATTTTCGGAATCTCAGACAACGGACAGCGGACTGCAAACAATAGACGACTTGCGGGGAACGTATAGAAATACGTTTTCAAACTTACTAACATGTAGTATGTACTGTACTGAGAATTTTTTCTCAGTATTTCCTACATCTATTGAAATTGAATGAAGATAAAATAATAAACAATTGCATAATTGTAGAAATTGGTAGAAATAAAAAAAATCGATTTTGGGACATCTTACAAACAAATAAATGCATGAATTGATCTTGATTAATATATATCTATACATGATATGCAGCTACAGATCCTGAGAGGGGTTACGGCGGTTGTACTCTCCTTTATTTTTGTGCAAATAAAAAAAAAATGAACATTTTCAAAAAAGGTAGACATGGTGAAAAGGAGAGGCTTGTGTAAATTGAATTTTAAAGATTTATCCGACCTTGTTCAGTCCAACCTCATGCAGTCGATCAAAAATTTCGATTTCTCTCAAGTGTGCATGGAACATAGGAAAATAAGTGATTTTATCCTTTCTTCACATCGGCTCGGGTAAAATAAATTAAATATAGAAACCAGTGAACAATTTTTACTTGTTTAAAATAAATTGGATATCAAAAAAGAGTGTTGAAAAATAGCTTTAGCATATTGCAGTATATCTAGATTGATTAAGAACGAGGAAATGAAAGCAAAATACTCGATTTGAATCATAAAAATGTTTATTGCTAGGCTGATTTCCTTGAGTGATTTTAATCACTCAAAATGAAAATAATAATGAAAAATCTCTTCTCTATTTTTTGAAGATATTATGAAATAATTGAGATAGATAATACATATACGCGCAAAATGTTGAATAACTTTTAGCATAATTTAGGCGTTTCTTTGTTGAACATGAACTACCGGTATTATATCCATGTATATAAGACTGATAGTGTTCATGCAATTCCCTCGATAATTCAAAGTACATTATAATCATGGACAGGATCTAAATACACATTCTTCATTGTAATGCGTCGATGCGAACTTAAAATAAATTAATGCATTTTGTATCAAAAAGTCTGTTTTTCAAATTCCCAGAATCTAAGATTCCTGGATCCAGTGGAGGCCCCAGATTTTAGATACTTGCCTAAATTGAAGCACGCTTGGCTCATCCAATGAGAATATGATATTCAGTTATATTTTAAAAGAAAAAAATATTGTAAATTAGAGTTATATAATCGAGTGTGGTTCAAAGCTCTTTGCTTTGGTTCGTAAATATTATTTTCTCTTCACCCTCTCCTTTCAAATATATGTGGATCCTATGATAGTGGGGTATGAAAAAAGATGTAATATGTTTGTGACATGGGGTAATGTTTTCTTTTTTTCCCCTAGACCAGGTATTTTTTTCTTTAAATCAACAAAACATTTTTTTTGAGGACGCCATTTACTGCTTTGACAGAGTTTTATTCTTTTTTTTATTTACAGACTGTACACTCTATAAGATTTTAGTCAATTTTTTTTAGTCCTAGACCTTGACCCACGGGTTTGTTGGAAAAGGATGGTAAATTAAAATTTACAAAATCGAACAATCTCTTGGGTATAGAGCATTACATTATTATTATAATTCTCCGACAAGTGAGGGACACCCCCCCCCCCCCCAACACACACATACCCACACTTCATAAATGTGTTCACAGAGTATGATTGTTTTAATCATACAAATATAAACAAAATGTATATATCGATAATCAAGACTTCAAAAAAAATATTCATTTTATCTAAATTATATTTTGACACTTTCCCTTATCTGAAAAGTCCGTAGTCCGAAGTCTGCTCTCGGGTGTCTGAGATTCCGAAAATATTTAATAGGAGATGAAGAACCAGTCCATGAGTAAGTTTAATATTTATGTTCCCCAAACGAAGTTTGGGAACATATTGTTTTTACTCTGTTTCTTATTATTATTATTGTGTTCCCCAAACGAAGTTTGGGAACATATTGATTTTACTCTGGTTCTTATTAGATCTTCCGTTTTCAACGGAAGATCTATAGTGATTCTACTGTTTCTTATTATTAAGGTCTTCCGACTTCCTTCGGAAGACCTTATTGTTTTTCTTCTGTTTTCTATTATTATTATTATTAAGGTCTTTCGTCTTCACGGATGACTTTATAGTGTTTCTACTTTTCTTCTTCTTCTTATTATTTTTCCCCCAAAATTTTGTGCAGGAGATTTCTCGAAAACTATTCTGTGGTTTTAAATGAAATTTTCAGGAATTATACGTCGTCAAATGAACTTTGTTCCTCAGAAGAAAAATTTGAAAAACTCGCTTCCGGTGCCAGGTTATTGACAGTTTTCTGATTTCAAAAATGGTTTAAGATATGAACTGGAGACTTGTTAGAGATGATAGATTATGATTTCTAGATGAGGGGAATTACCTTTTTGTGCGTCGTCAGTACTTCCGGTCGTTCCCGGATGCGAATTTAAAATAGTCGAATTTTTAAACTTTTTTGTTTTTCTATATTTTTCTTTTATATTAGTAGGGTTAATAGAGGCTCTTCAGAAAATGCTTTATATATAATTTATTTTAGAATTGATCAATCCAAACTCTAGATATTCGCATTTCTAAATTTGAAGCGGGTCCAAAATGGCGGCTGTCTTCGCAAACTCCGACGAGCAGGTCGGCACTCAGAGCTCCCCGGGTGGCTCGTTCCTCGCACACTAACCTCGGACGTCAATGGTGTTCTACCATGTTGCTGATACAGTCATGTGATCTTATTTGAAATTCCTCCAAATGTTATACCTTTGAAGTCTGAGTTACTTTGAAGCACCCCAACACTAACTTTTGCATTCAGAGACTACTTACGTGGTGTTGTGATCAAAACCAATATCCAAGGAAGAATTAGACAAGAGAAAAAAATGTTTGAACAACTTTATGCAGAGTGAAATATGAAATGAGTTACAAGGCAGTTTCCGGCGGAGAAATGTAATCGATTTGATGCATATTTCTCCACTAATCACTTCCGAGGTTTGTATGGAGCATAGCGGAGTCAGTCGAGGATTGCCGATTGGCAGGTTGGAGTTTACGAAGACAGCCGAGCGTCTTGTTGAACGAAACTACCATAAGGATCAATGAAATATGAAGGAATTGTTGGATCTTTCAGATTATGAAATGGATAATCTGTCTTTGAAAACATAAATACCCTGACCTCCAAATGCAATAAAATGAGTAATTTGTACGGTATACAATAGTATATATGAGAATGGAGACCATTCAATAGAACATACATTTCAAAGAAAAGGCGCGAAGATTTACTCGTGACGTAATGTATCGTGACTCTTCTTTCATAGTAGAAAAATGGTGTGATGCAGAAGTGCAGAAAATGATTACACGGACACGTTTGTATGAAATACAGGTACATGGAATTGCATGGAATAAAAAGTTGAATAAAGGAAGTAAACGGTATCATCATTTCATCAGTAATAGATTATTTGTTATTGTTTAAACTCAAGTAACGAATTCCGATGTGAATCTGCTTGCACAAAATTTGGCTAGCTAGCTCTCATTCTATAATTCCGCACTATATAAAAAAAACTTTTAACCTCCCTGACGCTCGTTACTTCAGGCAATGATACAAAGTAAACATCGATGATGGCTGGTAAAATTGCGCTGGTGTAGTGGCTTCCATATTGAATTTTCACGAAGGCGATCTGGGTTTAATCCCGAATATGTTTGCTTAAATTTAAGTTTTCAACTTTATAAATGATGTTGAGTCCTTTTTTTTGTTAGAGATGATAGAACATGATTTCTAGTTTGGCGAAGGGACCTTTTCATGCGTCGTCGTTAGTTCCGGTCGCTTGCAGAAGCGAATTTAAAAAATCGATTTTTTCATCTTCAATATTTTTCTGTAATATCTGTAGGGTTAAGAGAGCCTCTTTTAAAAATGGTTAGCACGTTGTATTTTCACGCTGTCGACCTGGGTTAAATCTCCAGAGTGTCTGAATTTTTTTTCTCACTCTTTCAGCTTGAATTTACAATTCTATTTTCAAAATCGAACGGAAGACCTCTCATTGCTCGCAATGAGTTTCTAGTTATTCCACTTTTCATAGTACAAGCGATATCTCAGCTGTGCATGGTTCAATTCAGAAGATTTTTTCAGGGATAATGCATCATCAAAATATCTCCAGGGATGTCCCTCACTTTTTTGAAATTCACTTCCGTTCGCGATTTTTGGGGAAAATTGTATTTTTTAAATGGAATTTTGTCCCATAATTTTCTCGAGAACGGCTTAAGATATGAAAGTGAAACTCACGGACATGATAGAGCATCGCATATAGATATGCTGATCGACCTTTATTTTTCGTCGTTTGTACTTCCGGTCGCAAACGGAAGTGAATTCAAAAAGTTCAATTTTTCAAGTTTTTGTTAATCAATATTTTTCTCTAGAATTTACAGGGTTTATAGTGTGTCTTCTATGAATTCTATTTAGGTTTGCAATATACTAATGTATGCATTTATTGCAAAGATATGACCAATCCAAACTTTTAAAATGGTTTTGACCGTTGACCTTGACCTTTCATCTTGACCCAAGGTTCATGAGAAGAATATAGAAATATTTTACCCAGTTTTCAATTTATTTGTGTCTAAACAAAAACCATTTTTTTTTAATTATTATTATTTTTTACACCTGATCTTTGTCCCATTGACCCATGACCCAAGGGTCAGGAAAAGCTTAAGAAGATGTATTCTGTTATACTTTTAAGCTAATATCAGGAAGAAAAAAATATGCTTTTCATTTCAGAGAATATCAAAAGGGCAGGGTGGGAGGGGGTGTTAAACGAATATAAAAAAAAAATCAAACCAATAGCAACGTAGAATATTTCTCTATAACTCATACAACAACTCGGATTGACATAAAATTCCAGGGTACTGCAGAAGAGACTATAAAGAAAGTTTCCTGAAAGTTTTATATTGAGTCTCCAAAGTATAACGAAATTAGGAATCTTTTCGACAAACACTACATATTTTTTCTACCTGAAATTTAGGTGCTGATGCACATAAACATGAATTAAAGCTTTTATCGGCTATTTCTTCAGTTGTTGTTAATAG